GACTTTGCCTGCAAAATCTAACACTGAGCCCACTCAGAGCCAGTTTCCATTCATTGCTCTTTTTCCTGAGCACAAGCCTAACTTTTCAGGTTTGAGGCATTTCTAGAAACTTTTAGTTTATAACTGGACGTATCCAATAAAATTTAGCAAGTCTGGATTCAGCTTTATTTTTCTGGGAGTCGTTGGAACTTGCCTGGACTTAAATTGTGGAATCAGTCTCCCTCACCTATCCTGCCACTGATGCCTTCTTTGCTCAGTTTATTATTTCTCGTATTTATTTTTTTAACCTGGAATCCTAGGGGCTCATGCCTGGGTCTGCATGGCTTCGTGATCAGCCAATGATTGGATAGAGGTCATGCCCAGACACCTAGCGTTTGTAAGGTTCTGTTTATTGGTCTGTGAGTAGATTGGAAAATAAACACAAAGTTGCAGCCAATTCTCATTCCTTTACTTGTACATGGGGCTCTTGCAGCTTTCTCCACCACATACATAGATTTCCAGTCAGCCTGGAATATGTGAGAGCATATTTCAGTGCTCATTGCCGGGGTTTCCCTGTTAAATATCTGATCCGTCCACCTCTATCCCAAACGGGGAACAAAACATCAGGCTCACAAAGCTGCAGACATTACCCACTTATTCCCACATCAGTCCCCCACTTTTCACTTTCTGTTGTTTGTTTTGTTTTTCTCTCTTGGTTTCTGTTTATTGTGTGTTGTCTCCTGGGAATTGTTTTTATTATTAAACGACAGGCATTGTATATGAAAAAGCAGAAAGATAATTTCATGTTCTGGGTGTTGCTATCTTTTTCCATCAAGGCTTTAGTTTTGCTTTTGGCAGGTGTTTAGATAGAGACAGATCACCTTAATCTAATCTGGAACCAGACTGTGACAAATATACGCAATGGAATCTACCTGTTGCGAAAGCATGGATGGACCCAGAGGGTGTTATGCTAACTGAAATAAGTCAGACAAAGACAAATACCATATCATTTCACTTATATGTGGAATCTAAAGAACAAAACAAACAAACAAAATTGAAACAGAGTCAGAGATACAGAGAACAAACAGACTGATGGTTGCCAGAGGGGTGGGGGGTTGGGGGCTGAGTAAGAAGGTGAAGGGATTAAGAAGTACAAATTGGTAGTCACAGAATAATCACATTGAGGTGTAAATGACAGGAGAGGAAATATAGTCAATAATGTCATAATAACTATGTATGGGGCCAGGTGGGTACTCGAAATATTGGGGGGACCACTCCGTAAAGTACATCATTTTCTAACCACTATGCTGTACACCTGAGACTAATACAGAATAATATTGAATGTAAACTATAATTGAAAACTAAAACAACAACAACAACTAAAACAAACAAGAAAGCCCGGCTTTAGTGTATTTGGAGGCTGGTCTGTTTCAAGTGCATCCCTACTCCCAGGGTCTAGTCTTTGAGTCCCAGCTGAAAGCCGGGGACATTTCCCGCAGCCCCTCCTCCTGACGGGCATGGAACTCCAGTATTTCCCCACCTCTGTGGAACTGCCTGAAGCTTCACAGCTCATCAGCCTCCTACCTGCTGATATCTGTGGCCTGTGATTTGGCAAATGCTTCAAGGGTAAAAACAGCATCAACTGTTGGGCTTACTCTCTTTACTTCTCTTTGGCTCTGGACCCCTCAAATTCTTGCTGCATTTATGACTCAACAGCTTCTCTCTCTCTATCTCTCCCTCTATCTCTCTCTACCCCCTCCCCTCCTTCCCTCCCTCCCTCCCTCCCTGCTCCTCAACGTGTAAATGCAAAATAGAAAGTCTGCAGAGGAAAGAAATAAGGCCCAGCATAGTTCAGAATAGTTGCAGGAAAAAAATGTAAGGATCCATCAACCGTCTTCAAAAATAGCCTCTTTGAGCCCCTTTAAAACCTTTTAGAACTGGAGTCAGCAGATAGGATCTCTCAACCCAGCCCCGACTCTCTAAAATATTTTTTCCCTTTTGCTGTTATAAGAGTATACTAATAATCACATCTGCCTCCATGGATTGTTTTGATGGTGAAGCAATAGCACCGTTTACCAAAATTAACCTGTTTCAATATATACTTTGAGTAGGCAGTGGGCTAGATCTTCTGCTTGTATTATTTCTTTTTTTTCTGCTTGTATTATTTTATTTAAAATTTGTATAGAGTTCTGAGTAAGCTCGCTATCATAAAAACATTTTTTTATAAGAAAACAACTACATATATCAGGGGACCAGTGGCTTTCTTTGAGGAGCAGTGTTTTATTGCTCAGACCTGGAGCCTAGAGGATGAGAGGTGCTGAATGGGACGTGTCTCAGACCAGGGGACAGTTGGCTGCTGGCATCTGTGTTCCTCTGTCTGTGAAGGTCCTGGCAAAGCCCAGGGAAGAAGTGTGGTGGCGGCGGCAGCCTGGTAATAGAGGCCAGTCCCAGGGTTCCCTGGGGTCCCCGGGGCTAAGGGCTACTGCCAATGAGATGCCACCCTCCCATTCACCTTGATGACCGCTTTCTGTCGCAGCCTAGACCAGGCACCGGTTGGCAAACAATGACCCGTGCACCCGAGTCAGCCTTCCGCCTGTTTTTGTAGGACCTGTGAGCCGAGAATGGTTTTGACATTTTTAGATTCATGTCTTTTTCCACGTGGATGTCTAGTTGTTCCAGGACCATTTGCTGAACAGACATCTTTTCTCCATTGCATTGCTTTTGTTCTTTTGTCAAGGATCAGTTCACTCTATTCATGTGGGTTTTCAGGGCGCGCCAGTCTGTTCCATGGGTCTAGTTGTCTATTCCTTTGCCAATATCACACTGTCTCGATTCCTGCGGCCAGAGACTACATCTTGCAGTTTCGTAGTGTCAGTCCTCTGACTGTTCTCCTCCTCCCACTGTCTGTTGGCTATTAAACTTCAAAACAAGCTTGGTGATATTCACAAAGGCTTTTCCCTTTTCTGTAGCGGGGGACAATTTTAAAAAGAATATTTCGTGACACATGAAAATTTTATGAAATTCAAATTTTACTCTTCATAAATGAAGTTAATGTGTTTACATATTGTCTGTGGCTGCTTTTACACTGCAACAGCAGAGCTGAGTGATTGTGAAAGAGACCGTATGGTCTGCAAAACCTAAAATACTGACTGTCTGGCTTTTTACAGGGAACGTTTGCTGAGCTCTGGTCTAGAGTTGGGCTGGGACTTACCTTGTTGGTTATGAGCATGGCCCATGAACCAGACCGCCCATTTCCAATCTTGCCATCATCATTTGCTAACTGTGTCACCTTTAAAATGCTGCTTAACCTTGCTGGGCCCTTATCACTAAAGTGGGATTATTGGTATTTAGCTCATAGGGTCATTAGGTTCAATGAATTATTTCATGTAAGTGTTGGCTACCATACAGATTATTATCCTGGCTTAAAAAGAATGTCACCAAAATAGTCTCCAATCTCTGCCCAGCTAATTCATCTGCCTCACTACACCAAGTGGTGATCATGAAATACGCCTTAGCACTCATCTCTTCAAAGACCGCTCCTGGCTTGCTGTTGCATGGAGTGGCATTTGCAGATCCACAGCCCCTCTGCTGTCTGTCTGGGAAGCCTCATCCACCCGCCTCCCCTCCCCCTCCCCTCCAATTATAAGCCCTGTGCTCGGCCTTTCCCAGGGCTCTGTGCTTGTCCACACCTCGGCGCCTTCCCATCATATGGCTCTTTCTGCCCAGAAACCTTCTTCTGGGAATTTCAAAAGGGTCACTGCAATCTGCGGGCAGGCAACAGCCATCACTCCTGTTATGAGCTCCAGCATAGAAATCAGTGCCCGACCTCCCAGTGGACACTCTTGCTCCTCATCAAACTCCAGATCACTTCTTTTCAGGGTCAACAAGTAAAGCTGCAGAAGAAGGCCGGGGTGGAAAGAAATTCAGCCCTGTTCCCCAAGTCAGACCACCCTCTGGCATTGCCCAATGCCCTTTGGGGTCTCACATGGTAGGACCTTACATGGTAGGGCCTTACATGGTAGGACCTTACATGGTGTCCAGAGCAGGGAACTGGGTGGGAGAAGTCAGAGGAAGCAAGGGACCAGATCTCTGATTCACATCAGTATCATAAATGCATCATGATTATGTAACAACATGAAAAATGCTTATTAAAGGCAGTTTGCAGGAACAAAATTGCATCCACATTAACTACAACTGAATGAAAAGTGTGCCTGATCGGAGCCCGATAGTGAACTTGAGAGTGTCAGGACATGATATCACTTTTGGTGTAGGAGTAGTGGCACTGTGGGTGATTATTTTGTTCCTATATTTAGAGTGCTGCACTATACTATTATTTGTATAATTAAAAGGTCAATGCTTTATGAGAAAACACATTAATTTGTACACTTAGAATAAGTCTATTTTTTAAAACTAAAAAAAAAAATGTTTTAAAAGACTGCCCCACAGTAAGCTGGGATGGATAGTGTCTTTGCCATCTCCCTACCTGACTTTTCTGCCCCTTCACCTGCATTCAGCAAGACCCCTCAAGACAGCCCCTGCCCAGCCATTATGCACAGTTGTGGCTGCTGGGAATCCCTCAAGGAGCCCTTCTCCTAAGCTCACTTCACTGGTGAGACTGTTCCAGAATGTCCTTCACCTCCCTGCTTTGTCCTGGCTCCCCAAACAACACAGCTATTTGTCCAACATGACCTTCCTCGAGAGTTCTGCCTTTTGCTAAAGAGCCAAAAAGGAATCTGCCGTGATGTGCCTGTGCACGACATAGGATCATTGCTGACCTCTCTCAGATAACACTTTTGCTGTTCAACCTGAGGATTCTGCTCTAATCGGCTGCCTTAACGGAAGTAGGGTGTTCCAAACAATGGAGGTGATAGTTGGAGGAATGGAATCTAGACTTTCCTAACACAAGGGATGTTACTAAGCTGGGCACACAGCTAGGGCTGGGAGGAAGGGCAGGCAATATACAAATCTGGGTGGGAGTTAATTCCAGATAAATAACCTGAACTATTTTTGCTTTATTTTAGGGACCACCCAGGCCCATTCCTTCTCTGGAGAGAATACATTGGAAGAGCAGCTATGGCCAGAGGTAAGGGCTCTGTCCTCTTTGAGGGATGAAGGGGTCTCTTCCAGTGGGTAAATCCAAGTCTTTTTTAAAGAAATATTTTTATTGATTTCAGAGATGAAGGGAGAGGGAGAGAGATAAAGAAACATCAAAGATGAGAGAGAATCACGGATCGGCTGCCTCCTGCATGCCCGCTTCTGGGGATCGAGCCTGCAACCCCGGCATGTGCCCTGACGGGAGTAGAACCATGACCTCCTGGTTCACAGGTCGATGCTCAACCACTGAGCCACACTGACCGGTCATAAATTCAAGTCTTGATGCAAGTTGGCAGGTCCCTGCCTTGAGGGAATGAGCTGCGTCAGCTGCTGCCCCCAGGGATAGCCTGGCTGCCAGGCAGGCCAAGGGCAGCCTGACTGTATCTTCTGGAATTTGGGGCTCATCAGTCCTGCAGACCGAGTGGGTGGTTCCCAGAAGTGTCCAGAATGCGTTATAAATGGGCTGTTATCTCCATGAACCTTGAAGCAGATGCTGTGAGTTATCTGAAGGCATCTGGGTTAGGTCTTCCCAGAACATCCACAAGATAAGAGTTGAGAGTAAATGCTTTATCTCTTACTGCAATCAGTAATTCAAGAGGAATTAACTTGTGTCTTGTGATAGTGAGAGATGTGGCCAAGGAACTCATTTACTGCACGTTTTCCCCCTGCTGGAGTATAGTGAGTCCTCACTTAACATCGTTGATAGGTTCTGCGGTGAAACGACCTGTAATGAAACCGGTCTTACCACAGACTAATTGCTATAGACAAGAGTTAAGTTTCTATGGCATCTCATCCACGTTAGAAGTTGAGTGAAATGACTTTATCTAAGGACCTGCCGTATTTCCTCCACCACTTTCAGTTCTGGGGAGAAAACATGTGACCTCCCTTCCCCAAGCCATTCATGTGATTCACAGAAGCAGATGCTCTGGACTCCTGGGAGCATCTGAGGAGGCCTGAGTGGCCTTGAGGACCCGAGCACTGGCCACCCAGTCCCTCCTCTGCTCTCAGCAGCCCTCTGGGCTCAGGACAATCCAATGGGTGAAGACTCGAGTCTCCAGTTTCAAGTTTACCCAGTTTCCAGCAGCATATAAACATAGTGCTCCAACTATCTGCTTTTGTGTAAATCATCAAATTAAATGAGAGAAAGTAGGTAATACAAATAAATATATCGTAAATGGATTTTCAAGTCTTTTAGTCTAGGCACAGTGAGTCTCTTCTTAATTCATTTTATTTTATTTCTTTTTTTATTGTGGTATAAGGTACATAACATAAAATTTACCATTTTAATCATATTGAATGTATCATTCAGTGGCATTAGGTACATTCACATTGTTGTGCAACCATCATTACTGTCCACCTCCAGAACTTTGTCATCATCTCAAGAATTGATTTTTATGCTCCCTTTTTCTCCATCCCACTTTTTGGAGGCACCCTTACCTACCACCTGCTAAAATCATCGAAAAACACATGTCCTCCTGTACTAGGTCAGTGGTCGGCAAACTCATTAATCAACAGAGCCAAATATCAACAGTACAATGATTGAAATTTATTTTGATAGCCAAATTTTAAAAAATATATTTTATTGATTTTTTACAGAGAGGAAGAGAGAGGGATAGAGAGTTAGAAACATCGATGAGAGAGAAACATCGATCAGCTGCCTCCTGCACACTCCCTTCTGGTGATGTGCCCGCAACCAAGGTACATGCCCTTGACTGGAATCGAACCTGGGACCCTTGAGTCCACAGGCTGAAGCTCTATCCACTGAGCCAAACCGGTTAGGGCAAGAGAGCCAAATTTTTTAAACTTAAACTATATAGGTAGGTACATTATTATTAACTTAATTAGGGTACTCCTAAGGCTTAGGAAGAGCTACACTCAAGGGGCCAAAGAGCCGCATGTGGCTCACAAGCCGCAGTTTGCCGACCACTGTACTAGGTGAACGGTATGGGATTAGTAAGACCATGACTGTGGACAGTTGTTGCTTCTGGACTTTGACTCTAGATAGAACAAGTACATGCTCGTTTCTACACCAGGCTTTCAGGACCTGCAGTGTTTCCATTCAAGGCAGTTGATGTTTCTGATGTTTGATTTCAGTTGCAAAGCCTGAAGAATATTCCATTTGTATGCAACCCAAAGAAGTCAGGACCCAACGTGCCTTCTGAGTCAGGTATGTGACCCCTGAGCCATGACTCTGGTGTGGCCAACAGAGGCTCCAGCCCTACTTCTCTTGTACCTTGGTGATTCAAGTCTTTCCTCTTTCCCATCCCTAGTCCCTCAAACCTTCTCCTTTCCCCCTCATCTATTTCTACTGTGGGACACAGTCTGACACAAGAGTCAGAGATAAAACCAACAGGACCCCACGGTGGCTTGGCTGATGAGGGCAGCCTCCAGGAGAGCCCACCAGACAGTGTTACGGGAACTGTTATACAAGGAGCGGAGGTAGGAAAGAAATCAATGCATTTCTTAGGAAATGGCTTCTTTGGGAGCCCATTATATGAAAGGGGTTTCTAGGGAGACTGAATTCTAGAAATGCTGGTAGACCAGATGGTCAAGGAGGCTTCCTGGTGTACCATTTACATACAGCCCGTATCCAATGTTTAGGTCTCTTCATAGGCTTTGAGTGCTGTTCTCTGGCAGTCTTCAAGCCAGTATGATCCTTTGTGTACCCAAATGGTTTTCATTTTAATGTTTTGCCCTCTTATTAATGGTGGTTCAAAAATAGAGTCATGGGATAGGTGAGAGGGAAAATGAGGCCCATAGTGACTTTCCATGGGACACCTTTTGGAGATCCTGAGTTCCATTAACAGTGTGGCCTCCAGAGAGGGAGTGAGCCTCTTTCGAGCAGGTTCCTAGGGCTCCCAGCTGCCGCCTGGTCTTCAGCTCTCCACTCTCGTGGCTCAGCTTTAACAGCTGTCCTCAGACTGGAGGACAGGGATCTGCCCCTTCCATTTAGCATCCTTGGCCCACCGTTTGGGGAATGTAGATCTGACCCTCTTCCCTGGGTTCTTGTCATTGCAGTCCACTCTCTGAGACCTTCTGATATTAAATTCGTGGCAGCCATTGGCAATGTGGAAACTGTGAGTATTTTGAGGGGATGGAGGTGGGAGACAAGGATTGGGATTGTTATATAAGGAGTGTAGGTAGAAAAGAAATCAATGCATGATTTCAATGAACCCTCGGAATGAGTTCATGGCAACCAGGTAGAGAGATTATTTTTTAAAACGGGGAAATCCTAAAACCTAGGGGGCTCTGAGTCTTTTTTTTCTTTTCTTTAATTAAATGAGTGCCCCCCCTTTATGTTCGGGTGAGGAAACTTTTGGAGTTTCTCAGTGGTAAATGAAACCCATTGATAAATTAAGTGGAAGATTACACAGAATTTTAAAAAAATAATCGCTTAAGCTTTCTACTTGTGACATAAAGAAAAAAATCCTTATCTGTTTGGTAAATTTAAAACAAATACATCCATTCTTGCTAACACATTTTAAGTGGTATATTTTCCGTGGTCAGAAGGAGAAAGATGGAGAGAGAGGAAGGAGCACAGACATCTGGAGAGAATAGGGTTGGAGGGCAGAGCGAATGCCAATGGGTTTCCCCACCCTGGCTTTCCACAATCCCCCTGCCCTTAGGAAAAGCCCACTGCCCTGCTGCCCACCTCCAATGCCAGTGACCCCCACATGGACAGACAGACCACTTAGCAGATGTTCTCTGCTCTGCCCCAGGGCCCTGCTATACTTCCTGCACCTGAACCAGGACATTCGTTTCCCTCCAGTGTCTTCTGCCCACCTCTGCCCACCGTCTCTCTTCCAGCGTCCCTCCCCGCCCCTGCTGCAGGCTGTGCTCCCTGCAGCCTCAGCCTCTCCCCCTCGCTGCCGGCCCCAGCCCACTACTCCATGCACAGTGGCAGCTGTGTGCAAAGTGTGAGACTTCACTTAGAAACTGACCACAGACCCAGTGAAATCGGCAAACAGAGGCCCCATCCTCGTTTTCCTCTAGCTGTGCTGGTGGTGGCAAAGCTGCACGTGTGTGTGTGTGTGTGTGTGTGTGTGTGTGTGTGTATGTGTATGTGTATGTGTATGTGTGTACTGGGGTGAAGGTGGAGGTTTACTGCTGGGAGAGCTGGGAGAGGGAAGATGGTGAGAAAAGAGGTTCCGTGTCACGGGTAGTGCACTGACTTTGCTGAGCCGTGTGCCCTGCATGCTGATGCTCGCATTCCAGAGCCCGAATGTGTGACACTCGCTGGAGGACTCGTAGTCTTCCACGTTGGGGAGGAAATTCACTGCAGGAAAATCACTCCGAGTCAGGCTTCCGCAGTCAAGCCAATCAGTGACTTCAGTCTTTGGTCCCAGCCCTGAAAGGCTCCGTATTCATGAATTATTCAGACCTCCAGCTCCTGCCTGTCACTCAGCGAATCCTTTCTCCTTCTGTGAGCCCGAGGCCCAGATACAGCTTCAGTCCAGGATGGTGTCCCAGAATCATTATCATCACACTGACGGGTACCTCCACCTGCAGAATAAAACCTGTCTGCCGCAGAGCTGGCTCTTGTGAGCTGAGCCTGGTTATAAAAAGTCAGGCCTGGGAAAATAAGGCAGGGAATTTAACGGGAAAAGTCCGTCATGTGGACACTTTTGCTTTGAGTTCCCGGAGCTTTCTGTAACCAAGGCACAAACACTCACCTGTGACAGGAACCAGCACTTGTTTGTTTAATTGCTCTGGACTCCCTTTTCCTCATAGAATTTTAAATATCAGATTTGTAAATGTAAAAACTGTTTTCAAACTAACACTTGTGGTGCATGTTTCATATAAGTACAAATCAACCACCACACACGCATCGAGTGTAAAATATTGAAGACCCCATTCACAGCTCCTATTCCTCTGCCTCAGGAGAGGTACACACACAGCACACACATGCACAAGCGCACACACGCATGCACATGCACACACAGCACACACCTTCTGTTTCTCTGGGTTCTGCCCCACATGCTATGGAGGGAGCCTGCCACTCCTCCTCCCTGATAAGCTGGCCTGGATCCGTGGTTCCCTGTTAGTCAGTGGGAGAGGCTGTCTGACGGGCAGCTGGGGCCTCAGGAGGACAGGCTGGGCCACCTTCCTGGCTGGAGTGACACCTGCTATCTTTTGCAGCTCCCAGACCCGGGGACGGCCGGTGCGGAGAAGCAGCCATGGTAACTATGTTGGAATCACCGAGCAGTGGAGCTGGGCGAGCCTCAGAGGGCCTTGCTCCGCCCCCTTCGGAGCAGGTGTCCCTTAGAAGACCCCAGTCTCCTGCCTCTCAGTCCACACTTGCCATGGTAACTATGTTGGAATCACCGAGCAGTGGAGCCTTGCTCTGCCCCCTTCGGAGCAGGTGTCCCTTAGGAGACCCCAGTCTCCTGCCTCTCGGTCCACACTCCCCATGCCTGCGAATCCCCTGGGAGGAAAAGCAGGAAAGGCCACACGCGGGATTCTCGCTTCCCACCACCATCCAGTCTCCCTGCTCTGCTCAGGGGCAGCGTGCAGGGTGGGCCAGGGTTTGTCTCATTCTTCCCAGGGTCCGCAGCCCCTTCCAGCTGGGGATGTGGGGAGAAGGGCCCAGACGGAGCTGTGGACCCATTTGGGCGACTCTGTGGCCATCTGAGCTGTGTCTCCAACTCCAAGAAGGACAATCACAGAAGCAGAGCCAGGCTGAGCGGAAGCTTGTCAGGAGACAGACCCCAGAGGCCAAGGGGGTAGCTGGCAGGTGACCAATCCAGTCTGACACGTGCATGTTTGCTTCTGCTTGCAGGGTTAGGAGGAGGCCACAGCAGGCGTGCATGGGAGTGGTGACAGGTGAGTCCTGGGCATTCGGGGCCAGATCCCAGCTTGCCCCACCCCTCCCGACACAGCACATTTTGGTAAATGAAGAGAATGTGCCCTGTTGGCCACTTTGTTGTGGAGCCTGAGGAGAAAGGGGGAGGACAGTCACAAACCCTGAAAGGAGGGCGTGAGAAATGTGTCTGAGGGTCTCTGAGCGAAGAGACGCCAGGAGGCTTTGGTGGGTAGGGGACGTGGGAGAGGGGTCGGGCGGCTGGGCCAGAGTCCTGAGCCTCCTTTCCCTCCCCCACCCCCACTGGCCTCCAGAGCTGGACCAGTAGCACTTCATCTGCAGGAACTGCCCACCCCCCACCAAAGGAGGGGGCCTGGTCTAATTTTCAGCCTATTTCATTTTGTAATAACTCCTGTAGCTATAAATATACCAATTGGATTCAGAAGAAAATGAAAATCAACTATATCCCACCATCTGGAGATAATCGTTGTTAACATTTGGGCTCTTTTACATATGAATGTGCTTCTGATATGCTATCTGTAACCTGTTTTTTCATTTAACATCCGACACCCCTTGTGACTCTATTAAAAATCATCCTGAAACCTCAAGTCCCTTAACGCCAGCTGAGCTAGCTCGTGGGATGTTAGAATCAATGACAAGGAAACCGCCGTTCCCTCACAATTAGTGCTCGGACGCAGTGCGTGCGCTCTGCTGAGCTGACCTCCTGAGAGCAGTGCAGTGAGGTGGCCGGCGCCCTGCCAGGGCAGCCAGGAGATTCCCCACTGGCCTGGGAGGTACTAGGCTCCCTGCAAAGGCAGGGCTGAGAAAGGCACTGGGCCTGCCTTCAGCCTCGCCCTCCAGCAGGGGAGGTGGAGACCTGGTGCTCAGCCTCCAGGATTGATTGACAGGTGAGGGGCTACTGGTGGCCAAAGTGGTGGGAGGGTCCCTTGGAAAGGGTCAGAGGTTCCAAAAGAGGAGGCCCCGGCAGACTGGGTGACTGTCACAGCTCTGCCTAGGTTTGGCTCTGTTTACCCTTAAATGGGGTGGTGGTATATTTGTGGTGTCTGGGGAGACAAGGTGTAGTTTAGATCCTGAAACCGCAAACACAGGGGCGTTGCCTGGTTCCTCAGTTTGCCTCCGTTTTGTCCTTGCCCACCGGGTACCAAGTCCTGGTACCAGCAGAGGGGCCAGGAGTCTCCCCTGGCCGGAGGTGCCGCAGAAGGCAGGGCAGTGAGGACAGATCTTGCCCCTGAATGTCCTCAGAGGCAGGACTCCCCGGAGCTGCCAGTGAACCCAGCCCATGTGGAGGGCAGGTCCTGGAAGCTCAGCGGGTGACGGGGGGTGGGGGGGCGGCCTGAGCCGGCACAGGGGCACCAGGTCTTCCAAGGAGGAAGTGCTGGGGATATCCAGCCCCATGCAGTGTGCAATGGCGCCGCCCAAGCTCAGCCCACCGACCTTCAACCCCCAGAGCGCAGAGCTCTTCAAGTCTACCCGTGTCCTTGCCCACCACAGCCAGTGTGCAGAGAGGGAAACTGAGTCAGACAGGGCGGGGCTTTCTCCAGGTTACATAGTCAGTACATGGCAGAGTCCCTGTGAACACAGGGGTCCAGCCCCGAAGCCTGTGACTGTTCTGCCCTCCTCGCCCCCCCGCAACCCCCCGAGAACCCAGAGAGAGGCAGAGGACAGAGAGGACAGACAGGTGCACAGCAGAAGTAAAACACAATGACAGGCAGGTTTATGTGAAAAGAACCACGGAACTGTTTGACCACAAAGAAGCCACACAACACAAACACCTCTAGTTAGGAAGCAGTTCTCTTTCAAAGACCCAGCGCCAGTTGGTCGCTCGATCTCACACTATCCTGATGCCCGGGAGGAAAAGTGCCCCCGACCCCCGCACCACACACTCACATACACACTCTCTCTCACACACACACATACACACACACACACATGCACACACATGTAGTCTTCCACTGGCCACAGAGCTTTCCATTTTCTCACCACACGTGAGAATGGACTCCTCCTGCAAGCTGCTCAGGGCTTGGAAAAGGATGCTCAGGGTTTGGGCTGAGGATGCAGAAGACTGAGTCACCCACGACCTTGGTGGCTGCGAGCCGACAGAGCTGAGTGACCAGTGTCCTGCCTCCAGCCCAGCTTCCCACCCCGACCCCTTCCCTGTCTGCAGCCTGCACAGTGCGGCTCCTTCAGAGGGAGCCCTTCGGATTCTGCTCCCATGAAGCCCCGGCACTCCTGGGCGGGGGCGGAAAGAGGGGAGGACTGGGGGGGGGCGGGGAGTGTGTGGGGGCATCTCCCTCCCATGACACTCTCCCCGCTCTGCCCTCTCCTCTCTCGGGAGCAAGACAACGTAACTGCTCCTGGCAGCGCTATTTTTAGCGGTCCTCTGGCTGTCAGCTCTGGGACACGGTCTCCGATCTCCGATCTCCGTTCCCCAGAGCGTTCCCACCGGCTGTCACTCTCAGGAGAGAGGGGCCGGGAGACAGCGGCCCAGGTCCCTGTCCTGCACACTTTCCCCGCGGGTCCATGCCACGCAGCTCCACTTAGCCTGGGGACTGTCGCTTCTCTCGGCCTGTTTCCCCGTCACTCATATAAGATGCTTAGTACGGAGCCTGGCCTAGCGCTGGACAGATGTTCATCTTTAGCTCCATTTGCTTCCTCTTCCGGGGGCCTGCGATGAGGTTGACCTCACGGCCCCAGGCAGGTGTGAAGGTCATGGTTTGGAAGAGGGTCAGCGACCCTGGGCACCTCACCCCAGAGGGGCCAGTCCCTACAGGTGACCTGCAGCCGTCAGAGCCGCAGCCCTCAGACCAGCCCTCCCTTTCTTTAGTACTTTCAGACATCATCAAACACTTCAATCCCTCGGTTCTGAGGCCCGTGTGCACCCCTGGGAGGAAAGTGATACCCCACATTGGTGCTGAGTAAGTTCCTTTCCTGGCTCTCTCCTGGGTAGGGGCGATTGGGGAAGGGGGGACCTGGGAAAGTCAAAGGGGCTTAAAAATAGAGGTCTGTGTTAAGTCAGAGCCAAAATGCATCTCCTGCACCGGTTTAAGTCTGCCTGATGGGCCTAATTTTAAAAATCAGGACCCGGTCTGCCCTCCAGAACCAGGGCTGGTGCCGTGTAGCCTTGGACTCGGAGACGGGCTCCTGGGGGGGAGGGGCGAGGGGCCAGCTTCCAGCCCTGGACAAAGTGATATTGAACTGGTTTCCTCTCCGCTCGCCTCCCTCTGTGCAGAGACTTGTGGATTCAGGCAAAGGAACTGGTGAGGAGCATGAAAAAGAACCAGGTAAGAACCCACCTGGCTCTGTGCCTGGGGCTGCCCGTGTCTGTGCGAGGCAGTCAGACCGAACACGCCAGGCAGCCAAGGCCCTGCGGCCACGCTGCCCTGAACCAGCCACCAGGGAGGCCTGGGCCCTCCGAACATGCCCTTCCTGGCGGCCGTCAAAACACAGGGCCACTTGTCACCTGCACCGTGGTGATCTGTGTGGTCCTGCCATCCTGATGGACTGCACGCCTTCGCACTCAGGGAGGTGGTTGAGAGCGTGGGCTCCTGAGGGAGACCCGTTTAAGTGGGAATCCTGAATTCTCCACCCATTCGCTGTATAAAGTTGGGTAAGGCGCTCAACCTCTCCGAGCCTCCGTTTTCCCATTTATGAAATGGGCATCATAAGAGACAGGAGCACAGGATTGAGGAAGATTCAATGAGGTGTTGGGTGCACCTGCAGCTGTCATTGTTGTGGGAGTGGCGATTGTTATTCTTGGTAATTACCGTGTTTGTTTTAATTCTGAGGTGGAGGCCTCTGTAACACACCTGCCGGGGCCCTGGGACCCACCTGGCTCTACCCAAGCGCTGAGCCTGGACGGCTGGAGCCAAGGGCGGCCGCTGTCTCGGTCGGCAATGCGTTCACTAAAGAGCTCAGGCATGAGAGCCAGGCCATTGCAGGTTACAGGCTCAGGGCAGACGCCGGAGATATGCCGTAAAGAGCTGTTTCCCTTAACAAGGGAATCCCAGAATTTCTGGAGTAAACACAACATTCTGGAAAATAGCCGGGAGGTCCTGAATCCAACCCCGAAATTTTACAGATGAGGAAACTGAAGTCCGAGGAATTCACGTGACCTGTCCAAGTTCACACAGCAAATTGGGGCGAAAATCTGAAGTTGCTGAGTCACAGTCTTTCGCGCTTCAACTGCATCATGCCGCCTCTTAAAGAGCAAAGCAAATGTTTATTTTTTTTGTTATGCAAGTGACACATGTTTATTACAGAAAAATCAGAAAACGCAGATAAACAAGAATAGTAACCAGAGATCATTGCTGTTGACAACTCAGTGTACATCCTCTTCCGTATTTTTTCAAGGCACATTTATTCCAAGCACATGTGTATAGTTTATAAAACTAGGATGTTACTCGATGTAGATACTTTTATAACTGCTTTTTTAAGTGTGGCATTTTTCCATGACAATAATTACATTTTCTAACACCATTTTAGTAGCTACACAGTGTTTCATCTTTTTTAAAATATATCTTTTTTATTGATTTCAGAGAGGAAGGGAGAAGGAGAGAGAGATAGAAACATCAATGATGAGAGAGAAGCATTGATAGGCTGCCTCCTGCACACCCCCTACTGGGGATTAAGCCCGAAACGCAGGCATGCGCCCTTGACCAGAATTGAATCTGGGACCTTTCAGTCCTCAGGCCAACACTCTATCCACTGAGCCAAACCAGCTTGGGCAACACAGTGTTTCACCTTAGAAGTGTTTGACAATTTGTGCAGCAATCCCCTAAATTAGACATCTATGTTGTTTCCAGTTTTTTACTGTTATAAACAAGGCTTCATCCTTGCAGCTAAATCTTTCATGTATTCTTATTTCCTTAAAATATGTTTTGGGAAATGGAATTGTTGAATCAAAGGGTTTGCCCTTAAAAATCTTTCAACTATATTTTGCCAAGTTGCCTTCTAAATCAGTTATAGAGTTTGAGTTTCCCACCATATAATTCTCTTTTTGAAGAAATATATAATTATGATTTTATGGGGGTGGGTGTGTGAAATTGAAAGATATGAAAAGAAAGCCCTTTTGGTATCAGGTCTTACTACTACCGCTTTTTCATGCTGTTGCCTTTTTCTTCAGGAACTTGACTTTCAAAATGACTGGAAGCTAATCAATGTGTTCTTCAGTAACGCAAACCAGTGTCACCTGTGTCCCTCCACCCAACAGGTAAACCACAGGCTGGGGGTCAGAGGGATTGCAAATGCCAGGGTGGGGGCAGAGCGAATGAACTAAACCTGCCTGATCTACACCTGGGCTGGGCCTGATGGCACCTTTTTCAGGGGATGGATGGATGGATGGATGGATGGATGGATACCTGAGGATTCAAGAAACCATATATAGGGAAAGGTATTTTACCATCTTTGATATCAGGTAAAGGAAATGGAGGTATAGATAAGGGGAGTCAATGATCATTCTACAACTCAGAAACATCAGCCCCCTAGTTAAAAATTGTTTTGCCTCTCTTAACTCTGATGTCATTTAAGTACTGAATTTAGGAAATAAAACAGGATGTGCACTCTTGTCATCACCTCTTAAACTGTAGTTCCCCATGAACTCTAGCGGTAATGGGAAGCCTACTGTTAATGCCCGTAGACCATCCTCCAGGCTCTTTAGCACTCCTGGATGCAGGACATGAAATATGTGACTTCATTTATTATTTCTGTAGGTGGCTATCTAGGACTTGGAGGTCATGCAGGCTAGCATCAGTGAAAGTGTAAGGGGTGACTATGATGATATCAGTGGCACACACTCTTCTTCAGGGGCCTGAAGCCTGGTCGCCGCCAAGCTGGCCTTGCTACGTATGGTAGACCAATCACCTGCCCCCGTCCTCTCAGCCACCCTCCAGAGCCTCTGCCAGGCGATGGCACAGGCCTGGGTGAAGTTTTCTGAGGTGTCCTCCTCTCTTCTGTGCCCTTCTTTCACAACTTATACTCTGGCCTTCTTCCAAACGCCCATGTTCCCACTGACTCCTGGCCCACCACCAAAACCCCCTCCCTCTAGTGATGTTGGGCCCAGGAGAATGCACTGAGCCCGTCCTCCTCTCTTCTGTGCCCTTCTTTCACAACTTATACGCTGGCCTTCTTCCAAATGCCCGTGTTCCCACTGACTCCTGGCCCACCACCCAAACCCCCTCCCTCTAGTGATGCTGGGCCCAGAGAATGCACCGAGCCCACCTTGCCTGGCCAGCTCTTGTTGAACAGTAGTCCTTGTAGATCTCCTGGGTTTGTGGCATATAGATCTTGAAGGTTTATTGTTCTACTTCACCCTCTGTATTCTCCCATGCCAAGTGAAATTTACAACCTCTGTTTTTTCTATGCCCTTCTTTTTTGTTGATTATGCACAGCAAATTTCTTCATGAATTTACCTATTCATGCATTAACGTGCTCACACAAGCATTTAGGCATTGCTGCATTCCTCTGTATATCCACTCATTCATTCATCCATCCATGAGTTGTCTGTTTATGCATAAATTCATTTTCTCTTTTTACATGTAGGCATATACTATTGTATGTATGATGAGTTATGTTCATGCTGGCTTTTGTTTGATTTTTCCAATGTTTGAATGCATTCATGGATGCTTAAACTCATTCATGATTTCTTCCATACACTTTTCTCACATTCAATCATTCTTATGTGAATTCTTGCATTCTTTCATGTATTTATGCTCAAAAGCATTCTTGGCTATGTGATGCATTCCTATGTCTGCATGTATCCATTTATTTACTGTTAATAAGTTTGGTTAGATAAACAATGCACAAATGTTTTCTTCTTTTAAAAGACTAAAATGTTACAGCTAAATACCACATCTAATCCTCTCCCCTTTTATTTCCAAGTTTCTTATATATCTACAAATGCTAGTAGTATTTTGCATATGTGTGCGTGTGTGTGCATGCGAAAAAGAGAGAGAGATGGATATTTAACACAAATAGTATTATATCATGAGCAGTTTTATTACTGACCAAGTATTTTTGACATCTAGTCATATGATGCACATAGATTGAGTTTATTCCCGTCACTTACTAGATAGTATTCCACTGTGTAAATTTAATAAATTTTATTTCGCCATTTCCCTATTGATGGCCATTTCAGTTTTTCTAGTTTTTCACTATTATAAACTATCTGTCCATTTGCCTGAATATGTGCATTTTTCTAAATAAATTCTGATTTTCAGATTGAAGTATATTAGTGGGTCAACATTAAGTTTAAAGATAGCCACCAAAATTATAAAAATAGAAATAGAATAAACTATAAAATATTAGGTTGATTGCAGGCTGTAAGGTAAGTGTTGGCTCATGACTATTTTTGCTTTGCTTTCTACATAGACATGTGTGATGTGAAACATGTCTTACCCTGTGGGTCATGCTCAAAATAATCTGAAGAAAAGTGCCTAGAGTTGATTCTTAAACATAGACTTGCTAGTCATCAGCTCCATACACTTTAAGTTCTGGAAGGGCCTGCCCAGTCACCTTCCAAAGTACTGAACCCATTTACATTCCTGTCCTGCCCTCCTTAGGACCTGGATTTTTCTCCTATAAGTGGGCTCCTTTGGTGAGAAGTAGATAAGGGCCTGTGTCCACATTTGTTCTCTGGGGGATTCTTAAGACCAGAGTCATCGAGAGGAAGAGCAGGAGCCATCCATAGGCAGTGGCCATGCTGCTTCGGGGCTGCTGTGGTGGGTCAGCTGTTCAAAGGCAGGTGCTTCCCGCGTACCTGGTGGCCTGGCCCGTTGCAGTGAAACAGACGCTTACAGGGTCTGGACTCTTTACTGCTCTCTAGTTAAAGTCTAGTTTTGTTAATGAGTAAGATGAGGAAAAAATCAGTTAAAAGAAGGGAAAACATGAAGAAGAAAAAACTCAAAGCCAATGACACTGCAAGAAATCTATCACTTACTTGTTGCAAATGCCTTTAGAAGCAGGAGTCAGCATTGGGAGGGTACGGTGGCAGGAGGCTTCAGGAAACCTGAGAGTGTTTGTACCTTTTGACCGGAGCATTCTTCTGACTGTGAAAGCAAAAGATACAAATAAAAATGTGTCCTTTCATTTGGAAAAATAAGCTTTTTTCCTGACTTTGGGTTCAAGGAGCAGTTTATTACGTGTGACCTTACAGACGAGGGACATTTCTATAAGAGTTTGCTGTGTTCCACTAAGGAACAGGGACAGTTGGTGCCCAAGGGACAAGCATCCAGTACCCGAGGGACTGGGTGGCCCCATTCACTCTGTAGCCGTGAATAAGCACCTTGGCGGAGAGCAGCACGTAGGGGCCCCCAGTTTCCCTGTGGAAGCTCGATGCCCTGAGTGTGGGCAGCGAGGGCCTTTCTACCCAGAGTTCCCAAGGCTCTTCAGAAGGCAAAGTGAGATGCTTAAGGTCATGTTCAGAGAGAGACACACGTCGCCTGAAGAAAATGAGACAGCAGGCTTTATCGCTGGCTACGCCACAGAGCGGGCTCAGCTGGCTTCCGGAGGCCAACCTCTCGCCTGCGCGGGGACTTGGGTGGAGAGAGAGTCCCGGTGCGGTCACAGCCGGGTGATTGGCAGCTGTCTCCAGCATCACCGCCTGTGTTCCCCCAGGAAACAGAACAGCTCCTGGGCCTTCCTTGTCTTCCTTCAGGGGACAGCTAATATACAGGCAGCTTGGGAGTTTGTCTAATAAAGTTTATTTTTGTTTGGTGTGGGGTTTTTTTGTTTGTTTGTTTGTCTTGTGCTTTTTTACCCTGAAGAGGTAAACCAGGGTCTATGTTTGGCGTGCTCTCATTTGTTTATTTACTTTCATCACCTGCAGGGTGTTAGTGGGAAAAAGGTGTCTTTAAATACCTGGTGACAGGAGCCCTTTTCTTATTCTTACTCCGGGCAGATGTGGGATGGATGGATGGATGGATGGATGGATGGATACCTGAGGATTCAAGAAACCATATATAGGGAAAGGTATTTTACCATCTTTGATATCAGGTAAAGGAAATGGAGGTATAGATAAGGGGAGTCAATGATCATTCTACAACTCAGAAACATCAGCCCCCTAGTTAAAAATTGTTTTGCCTCTCTTAACTCTGATGTCATTTAAGTACTGAATTTAGGAAATAAAACAGGATGTGCACTCTTGTCATCACCTCTTAAACTGTAGTTCCCCATGAACTCTAGCGGTAATGGGAAGCCTACTGTTAATGCCCGTAGACCATCCTCCAGGCTCTTTAGCATTCCTGGATGCAGGACATGAAATATGTGACTTCATTTATTATTTCTGTAGGTGGCTATCTAGGACTTGGAGGTCATGCAGGCTAGCATCAGTGAAAGTGTAAGGGGTGACTATGATGATATCAGTGGCACACACTCTTCTTCAGGGGCCTGAAGCCTGGTCGCCGCCAAGCTGGCCTTGCTACGTATGGTAGACCAATCACCTGCCCCCGTCCTCTCAGCCACCCTCCAGAGCCTCTGCCAGGCGATGGCACAGGCCTGGGTGAAGTTTTCTGAGGTGTCCTCCTCTCTTCTGTGCCCTTCTTTCACAACTTATACTCTGGCCTTCTTCCAAACGCCCATGTTCCCACTGACTCCTGGCCCACCACCAAAACCCCCTCCCTCTAGTGATGTTGGGCCCAGGAGAATGCACTGAGCCCGCCTTGCCTGGCCAGCTCTTGTTGAACAGTAGTCCTTGTAGATCTCCTGGGTTTGTGGCATATAGATCTTGAAGGTTTATTGTTCTACTTCACCCTCTGTATTCTCCCATGCCAAGTGAAATTTACAACCTCTGTTTTTTCTATGCCCTTCTTTTTTGTTGATTATGCACAGCAAATTTCTTCATGAATTTACCTATTCATGCATTAACGTGCTCACACAAGCATTTAGGCATTGCTGCATTCCTCTGTATATCCACTCATTCATTCATCCATCCATGAGTTGTCTGTTTATGCATAAATTCATTTTCTCTTTTTACATGTAGGCATATACTATTGTATGTATGATGAGTTATGTTCATGCTGGCTTTTGTTTGATTTTTCCAATGTTTGAATGCATTCATGGATGCTTAAACTCATTCATGATTTCTTCCATACACTTTTCTCACATTCAATCATTCTTATGTGAATTCTTGCATTCTTTCATGTATTTATGCTCAAAAGCATTCTTGGCTATGTGATGCATTCCTATGTCTGCATGTATCCATTTATTTACTGTTAATAAGTTTGGTTAGATAAACAATGCACAAATGTTTTCTTCTTTTAAAAGACTAAAATGTTACAGCTAAATACCACATCTAATCCTCTCCCCTTTTATTTCCAAGTTTCTTATATATCTACAAATGCTAGTAGTATTTTGCATATGTGTGCGTGTGTGTGCATGCGAAAAAGAGAGAGAGATGGATATTTAACACAAATAGTATTATATCATGAGCAGTTTTATTACTGACCAAGTATTTTTGACATCTAGTCATATGATGCACATAGATTGAGTTTATTCCCGTCACTTACTAGATAGTATTCCACTGTGTAAATTTAATAAATTTTATTTCGCCATTTCCCTATTGATGGCCATTTCAGTTTTTCTAGTTTTTCACTATTATAAACTATCTGTCCATTTGCCTGAATATGTGCATTTTTCTAAATAAATTCTGATTTTCAGATTGAAGTATATTAGTGGGTCAACATTAAGTTTAAAGATAGCCACCAAAATTATAAAAATAGAAATAGAATAAACTATAAAATATTAGGTTGATTGCAGGCTGTAAGGTAAGTGTTGGCTCATGACTATTTTTGCTTTGCTTTCTACATAGACATGTGTGATGTGAAACATGTCTTACCCTGTGGGTCATGCTCAAAATAATCTGAAGAAAAGTGCCTAGAGTTGATTCTTAAACATAGACTTGCTAGTCATCAGCTCCATACACTTTAAGTTCTGGAAGGGCCTGCCCAGTCACCTTCCAAAGTACTGAACCCATTTACATTCCTGTCCTGCCCTCCTTAGGACCTGGATTTTTCTCCTATAAGTGGGCTCCTTTGGTGAGAAGTAGATAAGGGCCTGTGTCCACATTTGTTCTCTGGGGGATTCTTAAGACCAGAGTCATCGAGAGGAAGAGCAGGAGCCATCCATAGGCAGTGGCCATGCTGCTTCGGGGCTGCTGTGGTGGGTCAGCTGTTCAAAGGCAGGTGCTTCCCGCGTACCTGGTGGCCTGGCCCGTTGCAGTGAAACAGACGCTTACAGGGTCTGGACTCTTTACTGCTCTCTAGTTAAAGTCTAGTTTTGTTAATGAGTAAGATGAGGAAAAAATCAGTTAAAAGAAGGGAAAACCTGAAGAAGAAAAAACTCAAAGCCAATGACACCGCAAGAAATCTATCACTTACTTGTTGCAAATGCCTCTAGAAGCAGGAGTCAGCATTGGGAGGGTATGGTGGCAGGAGGCTTCAGGAAACCTGAAAGTGTTTGTACCTTTTGACCGGAGGATTCTTCTGACTGTGAAAGCAAAAGATACAAATAAAAATGTGTCCTTTCATTTGGAAAAATAAGCTTTTTTCCTGACTTTGGGTTCAAGGAGCAGTTTATTACGTGTGACCTTACAGACGAGGGACATTTCTATAAGAGTTTGCTGTGTTCCACTAAGGAACAGGGACAGTTGGTGCCCAAGGGACAAGCATCCAGTACCCGAGGGACTGGGTGGCCCCATTCACTCTGTAGCCGTGAATAAGCACCTTGGCGGAGAGCAGCACGCAGGGGCCCCCAGTTTCCCTGTGGAAGCTCGATGCCCTGAGTGTGGGCAGCGAGGGCCTTTCTACCCAGAGTTCCCAAGGCTCTTCAGAAGGCAAAGTGAGATGCTTAAGGTCATGTTCAGAGAGAGACACACGTCGCCTGAAGAAAATGAGACAGCAGGCTTTATCGCTGGCTACGCCACAGAGCGGGCTCAGCTGGCTTCCGGAGGCCAACCTCTCGCCTGCGCGGGGACTTGGGTGGAGAGAGAGTCCCGGTGCGGTCACAGCCGGGTGATTGGCAGCTGTCTCCAGCATCACCGCCTGTGTTCCCCCAGGAAACAGAACAGCTCCTGGGCCTTCCTTGTCTTCCTTCAGGGGACAGCTAATATACAGGCAGCTTGGGAGTTTGTCTAATAAAGTTTATTTTTGTTTGGTGTGGGGTTTTTTTGTTTGTTTGTTTGTCTTGTGTGTTTTTACCCTGAAGAGGTAAACCAGGGTCTATGTTTGGCGTGCTCTCATTTGTTTATTTACTTTCATCACCTGCAGGGTGTTAGTGGGAAAAAGGTGTCTTTAAATACCTGGTGACAGGAGCCCTTTTCTTATTCTTACTCCGGGCAGATGTGGCAGAGAGAGGTCTGATAAAAGAATGCCAGGTGGAAGTTTTGAGGCCCATCTGGGTCCTTAAATCCAAGAGTAATTGTGTTCTCCCTTTGGGAGTAAGTCCTGTCTCCCATCTCCCATCCCACGATGTGAGCTGTAGCGTTTCCTTGACCTTGAGCTTGCCCTTTCCTGACGTGGAACTTCTCATTCGGGGGTGTTTGATTGTGTCCTAGAGCAGTGGTTCTCAACCTTGGCTGCACATTAGAATCACCTGGGAATCTTTTTAAAATCCTGATTTCTGGGCCTCATCCTCCGGAAATTCTGTTTCTTTGTTATGGGGTGGGGCCACAACATTAGTAACAAAGAAACAGAATTTCCAGAGGATGAGGCCCAGAAATCAGGATTTTAAAAAGATTCCCAGGTGATTCTAATGTGCAGCCAAGGTTGAGAACCACTGTCCTAGAGGATGATGGGTTGGGGAAGTCAGAATGGACAGAAACCCTCGGGAGCTCTGGAAACTATTATTTGTTTGTGGGAAATGGGGGTCTAGTAGGGCCTTGGCCACTGTCATCTCAGCTGAGAGTGAAGGGTGGGGAGGGGAAGAGCAGGGGCGCCTGAGCCTAGGCATCCTTGGCCCCATGTTCCCATCCCCACCCACTCTCAGCACGTTTCTCCCCTCCCAGCACAGGCACGTGACAGGCAGCATGAACAAGCTGACCAGGATGCTGGATTACCTGCTGCAGGAGGTGAGGCTCACGGTGCCCCAACTCCACGGGCCACGCCCCTGAGCTGCCTGGTGTCTGCCTTCCGCAGAATAGAGGGCGCTGCCCTTCGGAGGGCTGAGGGCTGGCAGGGAAGGTTCTGGTTACTCAAACTGCCTCCATGGGTTGAGAGAAAGCTAGAGGCAGGCTTCCCAGGAGGGAGAGCAAGATGAGGGAAAGGGTCCGGAGGAGGCTTTGAATAAAAGCCTGGGTCGGGTTTAGCGCCCTCCACTCTTGGAAAAGATATTTCCAACAGACTTCTGGGCAGGAAGCGGAGCGCACAGCCCCTCCCTGGGGCTCAGAGACCCCGCTCTTCCCTGAACAGCGCGGGGCAGTGCTGGCCGGGAGGGTCCCTGAGAGCCTCCAGGGCTTCCCTCTGTGCAGGGAGCGTGCTGAGCAAGCTCTGCGGTCTGACTCCTGGGAGGCAGCTCCCCCGTGGCGGAGGGTCCCAAGTCCTGTCACCAGCGGGGTCCTGCTTCCTCGCTGACACCTGGTGGGACGGTGCCCTGCCCACCGTGAGGGTGGTGAATGCCACTTCTCTGCATCACCAGCAGGGCTGGCAGCTTTGGACCTCCCCCAGCCAAACTCCCAAAGAGGCCCACCAAGCTAGCCAGACCCCAGAGGGGCTCCCACCAAGGGCTCCAGGGAAGACCTGGGCCATGACCAGGACTTGGCATCTTCCCCCGTTTCCTCCTAGGTCCCCAGAGCATTTGTGAACCTGGTGGACCTCTCTCCTCGGCACCAGGGGACCCAGCTCAGGTGAAGAGGGGAGCGGAATGGGACCAGCACCTGTGGAGGGGCTGCCATGTGCCAGGAACTGGGCGGGGCACGTCACCACACACTAACCCCCTGCGGGAGACCCAAAGGCGGAGGGAGGCCCAGTCAGTCTGGTTGAGGTAGTCAGATGGCCCGCCCCCACCAGAATGATCTGAGGGTTTAAGAAGCAGGTTTGGGAAAACATCCATAAGCCAAGAAATGATACTTCTAGAAACTGGAAAGAAAAAAAAATTAGCCCAAATGTATTTTATCTTCACAGAATTTGATTGGCAGGTAGTTCTGAAATTTGTCATAGAATTTAAACTCCTTGACCCCAGATCCCGAGATTTCTGGCTTTGGACTCAGAAAAGAGTTCACGTGGCAAGAGTCAGGGTAGGGACAGCTGGGGGTGGGGGCAATGGCAAGGAGAGGACGGTCCGAGCAGAAAGGGGGGTTGAAGAGAAGGGACACGGAGTCGGGGAGGGAGACATGGAGGTGGGTCTGTGGTGAGGAGGCAGGGAGGGCGGTGCACCCGGAGATGGAGTGAGAGGGGGCATGTCTCCACGTCCCTTCCTCCCTTCCCCACCCCAGGAGGGACAGTGGGAGCCAGATCACAATGCACCCTGAGACCCCAGCTTCTCCTCCCCACTCCCCAGGCCCCAGGCCCTCTCACTCCTCCACAGGCAGCCGATGGCCCCGTATCTGAGCTCTCATTCTGGCTTATTTTCCCTGCAGCCTCACAGCAGAGCCCTGCAAGTGCTCAGGGGACACCTCGAAGCTGTCCAGGGTTGTGACACAGTGGTCCTATCAGGTGAGCCCGCTCCGGGAGGCTGGTGGCTCGCAGGGGCAGGTCATGGAGGAGAACAGGGGTGGCAGGGACGATGAGGGTGTAAGTCCCCCCTTCTCCCACGGAGTCAGGAACCAGAGAGCGGCTCTCGGTTCACTCCTGGGTGATGACTTGATTTTTCTACCTGTAAAGTGGGGACAATACTGGCAGTGGCGGTTCTTTAGTAGTGAAGAACTGGGCAAATTCATTCAGAAAGGGTTGGGGTCATGATCACCTAGTGTACCACTGCACTGTGGTTGCTGAGCTGAGTATGCCCAGGCTGGGCCCGTACCCCAGACCACAGCCCCAGGGCAACTCAGAGGCCCCGAAGGTGTGCTGCTGATTTAGAGACGAGACCCCAAGAGGGTGAGGATGGCTCAGTGGAGGCCACCAACCCTGTCAGCAAACAGCTCAAACACAGTTCCTATTAACATGTTCACACGAGGACTTTTGTTTAAGCAGAAAGTTATGCATGAAGCCGTGTGGCCCTTTTCTCCAGAGGCTACATGTTTTGTATAGTTAATGGCACATCCCTCCACGGAACTGCCCTTGAGCAGAGCATAGCACCCTCGCTGTGTGCCTGGCTGCCCCATCCTCCTTGAGCTCCCAGGGAATATAGCTCGGATCTATCTCTGGGGTGAATTCAGAAAGCAGGTGGCTGAGGGCTGCTGAGAGCTCCTGGTGGGAGCGGAGGCGGGGCAGGCGGGGCCTCGCTCCAGCTCCCGGGTACACACTCTCTGCTCTCTCCTCCAGGAAAGTTGGGACAGTCTCCTGGCCTCCAGCAGGTACAACCAGCAGGAGTCCTTCTCGGTGGTGTTCCAGCCCTTCTTCTACGAGGCGGCCCTGTCACCACACTCAGTGAGTGAGGGGAACTATGAGCAGCTGGCCCACACCCTCTCCCTCTCCCTCTCCCTCTCCCTCTCCCGCCCAGATGGGACCCACTGAGCCCAGGGCCTGCGCTCTCAGGGGGAAGTGCTGCAATATTCCCTTATACTTGCTGACGACTTCCCCATGGGGTTGGAGAGCCCGTGAGGCAGGCTCTTGGAGGCAGAGGCCCAGAGGCACAGACCATGGACTTGAGCTGACGGCTCCCAGCTCTGACACGGGCCAGCTGTGTGACCTGGGCACGTTGTCAGAACTCTGCCCGGCTCCCCCTCTGTGAAGTCGGGGCCATTCTTGGTGTTCCCGCCCTCTAGGGTGGTGCCAATGGCATGAGTAAGCACGTGTGGGGAGCTCAGGGAGCCCTCGGTCCCGCTTGGCTATGTGACCCTAGGACAGAACTTTAGGGCACAGGGCACCCTCCTCCTGCAGGCTCTCTACCTCCACCCGGGAAGGAAGGGTAGTTTGAGTTGACCCTACTCCCCCAGGTCACTGGGCAAATACCCCTTGTCCCAGTGGGGCGCCCAGACCATGAGCACGGGGGTGGGTCCGCACGTGTTCAGTAGGGTCTCTCTGACCTACTGTGTGTCTGGGACAGTCCCCCCTCCAGGCTTCTGGCTCCTGCCTGTTGGAGTTGTGCCCACTCCAGGACTTAAACCCAGACATGCAACCCAGGCATGTGCCCTGACTGGGAATCAAACCATGACCTCCTGGTTCATAGGTTGATGCTCAACCACTGAGCCACACCAGCCAGGCTTAAACGATGTTTAAATGATGGTTTAAAACAGTGGTTCTCAACCTTCCTAATGCCGCGACCCTTTAATACAGTTCCTCATGTTGTGGTGACCCCCAATTTCATTGTTACAAATTGAACATAATTAAAGCATAGTGATTAATCACAAAAACAATATGTAATTATATATGTGTTTTCCGATGGTCTTAAGCTACCCCTGTGAAAGGGTTGTTTGACCCCCAAAGGGGTTGCGACCCACAG